ACAAAATAATTTAAAAAAGGGAAGAGGAAGGAGAAGGAGGCGACTTGGGGTAATTTTCCACAACAGTTGCGGCTGAAACCATTTCAGATAATGAGGCTCAGACAAGTCCAGACTCCTCCCTCGGTATTATGTAACATCTGAACATTACCCGCCTGTGGAAGAATAAGTGCTCATTTACATGAGAGTCAGATTTAATGCTTCTCCATAGTTATGTTATCTTATAGGCCTAGTTATTTGAAATGATTGATTTAAGATGTTTTCTGTGGACTTTTGGGTAAATAAAAAAGCCTCACTGTTTCATCATTAAATTCATTCTATATTTTATTCTGTAGATTGTGTACATTACTTTTCATTTTACTGCTTTTTGCACTCCTGGTTAGAAGCTAAACTGCATTTCGTTGTCTCAGTACCTGTAATATGTGCAATAACAATAAAGTTGAATCTAATCTTGAGCAGGAACAAATGTATTTACTTAGTACATATCTGACATTAACGATTAAACACATTTGTGCATTCTTTATAAATGAAAACTGGTCAAGACCACTGACGGAAGTAGTTTTGAAAAGTAGTGCTTCTGTCTTTTACATGTAGGATTCAACCCCCCTTGGATTGATTTGTTTTAAAATGAACAGACACTTGAGTCATTCATTTGATATAATAATTGTGGGATTTCTATTGCATCCGCTTCATCTGCAACGAAGAACGCCAACGCAATTTCCGCCATTGCAAACCGAGTCAAGCCGACTCCGAGCTGTCCGACTTCAGGCGAGCTTTTTGAGACCTCCCCCGGCTGCAATCGGCTATTCTCGTCTACTTTCGAGGCGAGCCGCAGCTCATCTCAACAAGCCTATTTTTTCTGTTGACCGTTTTTGTCCCTATAGTTTGTCGTTTGTTTTTGTTTATTAAATATTGTCAGACTATATTACTTCGGTGTGGACTTTCTCTTTGAAAACGCGCCACAGCCTATAGCCAAGCTTAGCCTCTCGGCGACTCAAACTGGACTGGGAATTGAGCCGCCACAATAATAATAAAAATTATGATTATTACCTTACTTTTGTCTATTTTTATTCCTCTGTGTAAAGTAAAAGCATATATGCTCTAACCAGAAGTACCAACACGCAATATGAAGCCCCCTAGAGCAAGAAAGCATTAGGTGAATAGATGGCTGAGACAGTTTTGATAGCTTTTTTATATAAACCCATCAGTAAGTGAATACAATAACTAATTACAAAGCCCTTTAACTCTAAATGTTTAAAAATGTAAAAGGTTTTCATCATTAAATGTACAGATGAGTCCTTATTCAACAATACAGAAGATGTGGTGTATTAACATTCCCCTTGATGATGCCACAGTGAACCTAGTCTTTTTTATTTAAAAGTTTAACAAATAATCATTAAAATCTGATATTTACTTAGCGAAACCCTTATTTCACCACATTTGGAAGATTGACCAGAGCATAAAGTCTGAACTAAAGCCTATATTCTGTAAACTGGTTTAATGTCAAGTTAACATTTCTTCTGTAAAAAAAATAATTAAAAAAAGGGAAGAGGAAGGAGAAGGAGGCGATTTGGGGTAATTTTCCACAACAGTTGCGGCTGAAACCATTTCAGATAATGAGGCTCAGACAAGTCCAGACTCCTCCCTCGGTATTATGTAACATCTGAACATTACCCGCCTGTGGAAGAATAAGTGCTCATTTACATGAGAGTCAGATTTAATGCTTCTCCATAGTGATTTTCCAATAACATACATGAAAAGGTTAGTTTATAATGAGTATTTTAAGTTATTTAAACTACAATTTGATTTACTAAAATTAATTTAATATATATTTTTAATTGTAATCTTTAAATGATTATTATTAATCAGTAGACTGACTTTTGTCTTTGAAATGCACAAACTGTTGACCTGCACTTTTCTATCAATGGGAGGAAGTTGAACAGAGATATTTAGCTGAGGAACATGAGGATGTATTTGATTCATTATAACACTCTGGTCTATCTCCTCGGAAAAACTTCCAGCAACAGGCTGACTGAGTTCTGCTTCTTATGCTGCGTTCACACCGGACGCGATGCGATGTTTGGGGGCGGCGTGATTACATGTAAAGTCAATGCAGAGACGCGATTGAGGCGATTGAACGGTGCCGCATTAAACGCGAGAGTTCAATTTTTTCAACTCGAGCGTCAAATTCACGTGACGCGTTCTCGCGGAAGCCAATCAGCGGTGAGGATCTCAGCCGCCGTCACTGACGTTCAACCACACAACATCAGCCGTTAGCTGTTAGCAGTTAGCTATGTAATGATGAAACTCCAGCGTTTAGAGCGATGCGATAGGAGCGATTATGCTGCGTTCACACCGGACGCGATGCGAATATTCGCTTCGCTCTAATCGCTCCTATCGCATCGCTCTAAACGCTCGAGTTTCACCGCGGCTGCCAGCTGTGTTTACTCGCATCATTCAAACAAGACGCGCTGGCTCGGGAGCTACAACTACAACAAAATGAACATATTTTACCGTGATTAAATTGTAATACACGTTTCTAAATGATGCCGAAGTAACAACATACTGATACCGGTTAGTAAAAACCATGAATTAATGCTTGACAAGTCTGCAGACAAGACGGCAGGCAAAACACCTTTTAAAATGCTTGTTTTCTGAATGAAGATCGGGTCGACCAAGCTAAGCTAACGTTGTATATGCTCATTCCACACTCATAACAACAGCCTACAGACATAAATAAACCAGCGACTGTATTCGCCATGACACAGACAGTCTGTGGTTTGTACTTGTTTAACTTTTGTCCAGTTTCTGAACAGATATGAGGAGCTGTGAGCTCTGTGTGCTAACTGCTAACAGCTAACGGCTGATGTTGTGTGGTTGAACGTTAGTGACGGCGGCTGAGATCCTCACCGCTGATTGGCTTCCGCGAGAACGCGTCACGTGAATTTGACACTCGAGTTGAAAAAATTGAACTCTCGCGTTTGACGCGGCACCGTTCAATCGCCTCAATCGCGTGATTCGCGCCGCGTCCACCGCTTCATGCGCGCCGTCGGAGCGAATTCGCGTCCGTCCGCATCTCTGCATTGACTTTACATGTAATCGCGCCGCCCCCAAACATTGCATCGCATCCGGTGTGAACACAGCATTAAAGAGGACATATGTGTGTTCATTTTAGGTTCATATTTGTATTTCATGCTTCTACTGTGACATGTTTACATGCTGTTCAAAAAGCTCTTTATTTTTCTCATACTGCCTATGCTGCAGCACCTCTTTTCACCCTCTGTCTGAAACAAGAGAACAGTCTGCTCGGATTGGTTAGCTGGCCGGCTCTGTTGTGATTGGTCAACCATTTAGAGATGTGTTGAAAATGTCAAGCCCCTAAGCATATCACGTTCAGTACAATGTGTGGAGGCGTTAACCAATAGAAGTGTGATTGTTACATTGTGATGTCACTATGTTGCTGATATAAATAAAAGAGTTCAATGCAGGTGTTTCAGGCAGGGAGGAGTGTGTGGGAGAGATACTCTCTCTGAAGGGAATGTTGGGATTTTAACCTATGCAGACTATTTACATGCTAAAAATATATGTACATATAAATACTGACAGGTTTACAGAAGTTTAAGTAATTCCCAAATGAAACATCTGATTGCATTGTAAATGTGAATGTGTAATGACAAACCATAATTTATAAATTCATATCGTAGAACGGTACAAGCATGCCAAAAAAACAAACTTAACCTCCGTGGAAAATTACATGTAAAACATACTTTAAAACAATATTTTTATTCATATTTAATGGGTATAGTTTGAGGTAGCCTCAGTAAGAGTTTCATTGCAAGTTTTCTGCAGTTGTACGTACGTTATCGTAAAGTTATTGTGACAATCAAGTACGTGAAAAACATGAAACGCTGATCTGATATACCATGTGATAACATTTACTTCCTTATCTGTTTTGATAAGCTAATAATAGAATGAGTAAAACAAGTTCAGTCAGGAAGCTCTAAAAACAAAAAAGAAATAAAGAAGACTTCTGTCAATTCTAGAACATTTTCACAGACACCAATCCTATTTTCCCTTCACCGCGTACCTAACATACCTTTTCTGTTACCTGTCCAAGTGTACGTGGTGCTTACATGGCAACACCGTCAACAGGTCGTACCCAGATGCCCCGGGGTGATAAGGGGACCTCGGTGACTAACATGACATCATCGTAACACATCAACATGTATGTGTGAAGCAAATTATATGAGTTGCTAGGCATTAATCATTAAAATAACAGGTGGAATGTTGTAATGGACTGTTACTCATCAGTGGGTTAAGCTAAAGCTGTAGCAGCTCCAGCTCATTACTTATATAACTGGGAATTATGACCATGAACATTTAAAAAAGTGAAAGTTAATCCACAGAAATCCCTCTGGATAGATGTCTTTGTCCCAAATTTCCTTAAATATCTTGGACAAAAGTGTTGGTTTGGATTCAGTATTTACCATAGACTATATGTATGACATTTTGACACTATGTCACCATATCTTCACTATGAAGTTGAGTTATTTGGACCTCTTTCTGTATCATTCTCAATGATGATCATACTTTTTATTTCTAAATCAGCTCAATGTTTGCATTTAAATATATATTTTGTTGAGTGTTAGCACACCTGTATCAAATATGCATCTGGATGAAGTGTTTGATGCTTATGCAAAGTGTAATATTCAAATAGCAGAAAACCATTTGGTCTATTTAGAGAATTTGGAAAAGCGTTGCCTATGGTAATATTTAGTTGTTTGAATGATTGTATAAACTTGACAAAAAGACATGTTTGATACCTTTCGTTTGTAATTATAGGGCTTTCCCCCAAAAATTCTGAGAACAAGTTTGCAGATGTAATGATTATAAGCTAAATCAGTCTGTAGAAATCTATTACACACAACATCCCAATGTCTAGATGAATACAAAAGATAACCGTAGAAAACATTTAGTGCAGTAAAAAGGCTGGAAACAAGAACTTATTTTCGACATTTTTTTATTTAAATTATCAATCAATAAATAGCAAATATATAAATAACTAAATAAGACATTTAGACAAGACAGTGTCAGTTTCAGCTGGTTTTTCATGACAATAATTAGAATGTAAAACATAAAGTTAGAGTGCAGTAAAGTCCGTGTGTAAATCACACACTTAAGTTCAAGTTTTTTTTAAGTTCAAGTTTGTTGTCAGGGTTCACAGTTCATTCTTTCTTCCAAGTGTTTCTTTTCCAGACTTGTGTCCTCCTCCTCCTCTCTCAGGGGGACTGCTGGCAGGGAGAAGCCGGCGCATGGAGCTGGGTGTCGAGGTAGCTGCTCAGGATCAACTCCTGCTGTGTTTTATTTCCACACACAGGTGGTGGTTTACAGGTAACCCAGTCCAGGGAGGTTTAGTTGTCGCTGCCCAGTCTGTGGTAGACCAGCAGAGCCACCACGTAGCTCTTCCCGGCGCTCTGCTCGAACTGGCTGCTCTCCGTCTCCTGGCCGGGCTTGGGGCATGTGTTCGGGATGATCTGCTCGCTGAATGAGCCGTCGTCCTCACAGCTGCTCGGTGTGGATGACATGAGCTCTGAGCTGGCGCTGAACCCCTGGTAGTCGCTGACAGAGCTGTCCGAGCTGCCCAGCGGCGTGTCGGCGCAGGGCTCCTCGGTGTAGATCTGCCACAGCACCACAAGACACAGGATGACCAGCCAGCGCTTGGCCTGGGATTTCTCCTGTGGTGGAAGGTGCATGCGGACTTTAGCGGGATACATCACCCGGGTGCAGCGCTTCTTCGGTCGGATCGGCACGCAGGAGCGCACGGCGGTGGCCTGAGTCGGTATCCGCTCGAAGGTGAAGACCTCGGGCTCCGTGCTGCGGGTCGCCATCCTGGAGAAGCCATATCTCTCCTGCTGTACAGTCAGGGTCATGCTGTTTGATCGTGAGTACATTTTCTTTGAGTTTTGTGTCGTTTTCTCTCTGTGTGTTACTCTCTCGGTGCTCTCAGAAAGTTGAATATGTCTCACCCAGCGAACAGCTCACACTTTATAGCTACATGTTCAGGTTGTGTTTTTTAGAAACGCCCATAGTAAGAAGGCCACTCCCTGACGGTATTGCTAAAGTGAGAAAAATACGAAATATTTGCATAATGTTGGAGTTTGTGACCGCAGCTGGAATGCTGCGGCACCATGCGCCGAGGAGCCGAATGAATCATCAGGGTTTGGTGAAATAATTACACCAAATCATATGGCCTCATCAAAGAGAGTCATTTCAATTGACAAAAGCGGAAAGCCTATCATATTTTAGTGATTAAGGAGTATGCCTAATGTAAATCACGAATCACTGATTCTTGAGAATTTGGATAACACAGGTTTTACATTTGAAAAAAAAAAGATATTTGTAAAGACATCTAAACGTATATTTTTATAGAACAAGGTCTCAACAAATAATAAAGAGCAAATGTTTCCTATTTATTTAGTCTTGTATAGACGTGGAGCTTTTAAATCATTGTGTCTACACCATAGGTTCACATATATGCTGTTAAATGTTGAATATTCACTTTTATTAATTGTTATAAAGTATTAATTTGATTTGATTGAGTATAATTTGATAATATATCATAAAGTGCCTTAACTCTTTATTGTTGCACATGGTTGAAGCAATATAACCTACACATGATATTCACATGATATTCAGAAGTCATTGAGTGAATCTGCTAGGTTTCAGTTGACTGTAAACACACACCTTTCCTCTGCTGGTAACTTCCCCTTAAACTTCACACTAAGAGATTTTACATGCCCAGTCCTAAACATAACAAGATACCAGAAACAAAACCCAAACATTCCTGAATGTCTTCCTGAATAACCTTCTGTGTTATGTGCACCTGCATGGGGAAGTCAGATGTGTCGATAAGTCTAAATATAGAGAGGATTTAAAATGTGGGGAATTGTTTTTGGCACTTCCTTCCCAGAGATGGACTGACAGATGTCATGCTGACAAAAGACTGGTTTGCCAATTTATAAAAAATGTACACCATTTTTTCTGAATTATAAACATAAGAATATCGCTTCCAATCCCCCCCCCCCCCCCCCCCCCCCCCCAGCACTGTGATTCTCAAGTTTTAGAGTCTTGTGGCACGACCTCTGTGGATTTCAAGAGTGTTCCAACGAGACCAGTGAGTGTATCTTTAAATGACATCATCACATGTTGCATCCAGAAAACTGAAGAAAGTGGAAAAACATTCTCAAGATACGATGGGAAAATCTGGTATTAATCAACATGAGAGATGGTTGGAACATAAAGAATCGGAAAGAATGTCACACTGAATCAAAAAATATGACATATCATGTCTGTGTATTTCCTGTGATTGAGTTATGAGTTTGAGAAGGACTGTGAGTTTCTATGCAAATTGCAGAAGTTGGGATAAGGTTTTAAAGTTGTTTACAGTTAGGAAACCTACCATACAATACGATATGATGTACCTGATTGTTGTGGAAGCGAATTTGTTCCGTCCTGCAGCTTCAAAGAAGATAAGATTCTGTACATATACATATATATATACTGACAAGGGGGATCTAATGCACAAACCCTCATGGCCATTCTAAAGTATCACTGCTAGAGGATTACAATTACTGCCATGTAACACCTTAATGTAACAGTAACTGACGTTAGCACTATAAACACAGAGAAAGATTTCCAAATGATAAGCAGGAATTATTTTAATCATTTCACTGACTCAGTACAGTTTGGCTCATCAATGGTTTCACTGTAAACTGTTCACTCTCAAACCACGCTACGTGACATGACAAAGTGCCGTTCTCTAGAATTTAAACTCTTTTTTTCTTTTATGGTTTTTCACAAGAAAGGAATGACATTATGAGGAAGAAAGAAAAACCGATGTGGCAATGAACATAACCGCAACCTACTGCTGGTATTTCCTCATTGCATAAATCTTTTCTTGGCCTGGTTTAGCCGGAGGGGAATTGTTAGGGTTGATATCAACAGTTATATCAGTGAACACCTGGGTAGCTTAAACTCTGGATGTGCGTTATCATTTTTGACTACAAGGCATTTATTTAAAGCTACTCTCTGCAGATGGTTAAAATATTAAAGTTATCTGAAGTGAAATGTTTTTTGTTTTGAAGAAATACAAATGAGTTAGTGCATTTTAAACTGTCCCAATGCTTTCATAATGACATTTTCTATACATAAAAAATATATATAATTTATTGGAATAATATCACTGATGCTTTAATGTGTTAGCACGTTTTATTTGCATGTTATACAATTTTCTTTAAATCCTTATCTGCATAGTACCAAGTATCTAAGTAAAAAGTAGTGTCAAGAACTATATTTCTCCATATAAATATAATGGATTAAAGTTTATACTTAAAGGTGGGGTAGGTAATTTTGGAGAAACCAGCTCGAGTGCAGCAGGAAAAAATCTGCCACTTCCTTACAGAGCCCCTCCTCCAACACACACGAACGCGCACATGACCAATGAGGGCACAAGATAAGTTTGTGCACAGATGGAAGGCTGACAGGCAGGTAGGCCATCCAGTTATTTTAGCCGGGCCGGCTAAAATGATTGGTCGTGCTTTTTACAGTATTACGGCTTCCACAGATGACATTTTTTTATGGATTTTTTTGTCAAAGCACTTAAGATATTCATTGCTATCGGGATGTTAAGAGCATTCCATGGAATATAACAAAAAGTGTATCTCGAGCCGGTTGCTCAAACTTACCTACCCCACCTTTAAGTAAAGTACTTCAGAATTTCTGTTACTTTTTTTGTATTGACTTTTTTATTATTTTCTACCACTGCCCTTCATATTAAAGTACAATTCCAGTATTTTGCGATCTGATGAATTCCCATTAATGTGACTTTTGTGACTCTATGGGTCAGGCTAACTTTAGACGGACCAGATCAGTTGGAGAGATTTGAACGATCGTGAATTTACGCAGAACAAATAAATAAGGGTTTGTTAAGCATTTCAAATGTCTGCAGTAATGTAGAGGCCTTAATGATTCAGATTGAGACCAGAGAGTGGCCTCTTTCTCCAAAGAGACTGTTTCATAATTTTTGGACTACATGCTCCATGTTGCAGTGTTTCCTAATTTCTCTAATCACTTTCACTCCAACAAAGACTGTTAAAGACTCCTGTTGCGTTCAGATACTGCGTGTTTGAAATACCTGTAGCATTGTTCTGTTTCTTTTGTTTCGATGTGAGCTTCTGCAGAAAGAATCAGAAGCATCTGAGGTTGCAGGAATAACACACACACACACGCACACGCACACACACACGCACACGCACACACACACACACCCTTCAGTGGGAACCTTAAGTTAATGTCTGGGTGGCAGGAGGAGAACGTCACTGCAAGATGTGTCACAAAGATTTTCTCTCAGCATTGCGTGAGATTCCTGACACTGTACATTATGTCCACACACACACACGCACACACACACACACACACACACACACACACACACACACACACACACACACACACACACACACACACACACACACACACACACACACACACACACACACACACACACACACACACACACACACACACACACACACACACTCACCAATGTTGGCAGGCAGTGAGGCGAAAAGTGGACAGAAATATGAGATGACACATAAATGACTTATGACCCCAGATAGCCAATGTTCTGGAATCGGGGTTCATTTGGAATGGCAGATGATATACTCGTACAGTAATGCAGGTTATGTTAATCAGTAAAAAAAATCAGTATACAGCAAAGGGTAAGAAGCTTGTGAAGTCACAGAAAATGTGAAGTGGAACGAAAATCATGAATACTCTTGCAAAGTACATCACAGCGGATTGTGGCATGTTGGAAATGGACCATATAGCCTTAATGAAACATGTCTCTGTCATGGTACCTTAAAATGATGTGGTAATGAAACGGCTCTTTTCACAACTTTAAATCCTAGGAAGCTTGACTCATCACATTTTCTAAAAGAGGTTTTGCATCTGATTGCAAACGGATGCGCTCATTGGCTAAATGAGGATTTATATATTTTGATCCAAACAAAATCACATGACATTCATGTAATATTTGTTTATAGTTGTGTGTCCTTTTTTACTTTAATTGTGGTTATTTGATGATGTGTTCATTGAATCATAATGATACATTCATATGTTCGTTCATATGTTCGTTATATACTCGCTGTTGTGATGTATACACCTCAAAAACGATATATTAAATCTGCAGTTGATCTTGTGTTGTTGTGTTTAAAATATCCTGTAGACGTGGCTCGAGTGAATGCATGACATTTAGTTTTATTATTCTAAAACATGTCCACACAAGTCTGACAGCAGAGAGTGAGAGTCTGAGTGTTTGTGCAGACAACTATGAGTGAAACCGGCCGTGTCAGATAGAAAGATGTTTGTTATGGAATAAAGTTATGGAAACTCCTTTGTAAAAACATGAAAGATATAGATCTTTTAAATGTTTGAACAACTCTGCTGATCTCAGACTCCTGCTTCAGTTTGCAATACTGAAAGTGTCCTGATTTATAATCCAGATTAAAATGAGCTTTAGCTGTTTTAAACTAGCCGTTTTGTTTTTAGCTTGAAACAGCTTAACAGCTTTATATTCATTTGTATTAATTGGGATCACATACAAATGTTGACTCCTGACTGTTAAACCATCCTCATTAAAGAAAAGAAAAAAGAACCAGAAGAAGTCAACAGCGCAAGAGAAGAGAAAAGGTTAAAGCAGAAGAAGACAGACAGGAAGTAAAGGGAACACAGTTTGGCTGCGGCAGTTTTTAATGGAAAACTAAATGTGAACAGACTTGAACAGTTATAGAAAACCCCGATCAATGCTGCCGTCATGTATGTAATGTTGCACATCAGGATCCTTTTTCTCAATAATGAACGTCTTGCTGCATATTTCCCCTTAAAAGCTCACTTAATTTAAAGGACAAAGTGGAGAAGAGGGTACAATACAGGGCACGGAAACTGTAAAAATCATTCCAACTTCC